TGGAGAGTCTTCCCCTCCACCTGGCAGCAGGAAACCAGCTCCTGCTTAATGATGATGAACGGTCTGACGCTGTGGAGGGGAAATGAAAAGCTCCACGCTGCGGCTCTGCAGGAACTCGCATCTGAAGGTGCAGCGATGAAATCATCCCCTAAATTATAGCAGAGAAACGGTGAAAGGGAACAACACTTAATGAGATGTTGTGATGTTGTCAGTGTGGGAGGCAGCAGGCTTCATGCTGCCTGTGTTGACATCATTTGAATAAACAGAAACAAATTAGACCCCGTCTTTTTCCACATTGTCACTGCAGCTAATGTGATATATGATGTGTTTATCATAGAGCTACACTTAATCATATTCATTTGTCAGATAATGATTTCCAAGATGTATTGTTTGGTTTGCAAAATGGAATTGTAACAAGTGGACGATGACCATCTCATTTCCATGTTGACTTATACTTGTAGTATTATTTTACTTTCACCCACCACCTAAAATAGGCTTTAATTTGCAACTAGTTATTTTAGAATTACTTCCATGAATTACATTACAGCTAAAACTAACAATTATTATGATTAGTCTGTTTCGTTACAAAAAAATATTAGTGAGTGTTCAAATGTACAAGGTACAAGGTGTCTTTACAATGCTTGCAAAGATACTCAACTATACTTATTCTAAGTGGACATTCACTCTATGATAAGTTGATTTTATGACAGTTCTGAAATAACTAATTCAGCATGTAAAAGCATAAAGAGGAGAAATGATGGGCATTTTCAGGTTACTGTTTGTATTTTGTGCTTCCACTGTTTACATGATTTATTGTAGTGTGTTTAGAGAAACTCCCTCTGGAGGGAACTTTGAGATTTGAGCCTTTGCAGACCATTTACATACACCTATAACCCTAAGGGAAAAACCACCGAAACCTAATAGGGCCTCTTTAAAAAATAACTAATCGACTCAGAGGGGAACTCGACAAATATTAAATTATGAAGAATTCCCTCACATTTGACAAGCTGGATCCAGTGACTGTCATTTTGTCAAAATAAGTTTAATACAAAGCAAATGATTAATACATCGTCAAAATTGTTGCAGATTAGTGTGTTGTTTATCCTCTAAAGTTTAGAGTCTAAACAATCAATTTACTGTTGAAGCTATAGATAAACTCCAACAGCAAACCGTCACTCCGTCAGGTTGAACCCCCCCATGAAGATTACACAGGCAGGACACAGCAGGAGAGAGAGAGCCCTGAAACAACAGCAGCAACTCCACTGCCAGTCTGTGGAGTTAGAGCAACGTCAGACTGCATTTGTACAAATACACGTTGGATTCTTCAGATTCACAAAAGAGTGGCAGGCAGAGAGATCAAAGCATGGAGACATTCCTGAGTATTAGGTTCACCTGTCGGAGCACCTCAAGACATCAATCTGGTCTTCAGAGGAGGTCGCTCTGCGGAGAGCTTCATGTTGCACCCAAAAAAGAAATGGTGCTGTTGTTCGTCAGGTTGAAATAATAGGTATGTTCTATGTTCAGAAACGTATACCCCTCATGAAGAACGTTAGAGAATACTTTTGGTGCATTTCATCAAAGGAAGTGAGGGTCAACGCGTTCATTTAACACGACTTACTGTAGATCTCCCGCACCACTAACTTGCATCATTACCAGATATTGATTTGCTGGTCATTGAATTAAACACATCTATTCACATCGACGGATTGTTACACCCTTTGCAAATGACTAAAACATGAATTAAATCATCAAAAAAAAGTTGGTGATTTATCTTCCAGCAATGAACTAATTGACTATCCGATGCAGGATGTTATTTATAACAACGTAACATGGGTCAATGCATGAAGCATCATTTTTATGATATAGCTGACATTCTTCCAAGCTCTAATGTTGATATGTTTCACTCTAAAATAGAAGATGACTGGGGCTTTGTACAATAAAGTTCATCAGCACATTGTAAGTGTGCACACTACTGTATGCAGATCACATCTATGTGCCATTTTCTACAATTCCCTACTGCATACTCCGTGAGACGACATGTACAAATCCACATCTTCACAAACAAGCTGCTTTATGTGCATGTTATGATGCATCTTAAATTGCATATCCTTTGTAATGAACCTACACATTACCATGTACTTGTACCATCTACCCCCTATCTTACACATTTATTTGACACATAAAAAAGGGACTAAGAGCTTATATGTTAGTGCGATGAACCTTTTTAAAAGAGTTGTTAATGCATTTCTAGTGTAAAGCTGCCCCCGTTGCCCCTTATTACAAGCCTGGGTTAATGTTTAATGCACCATCGTTTCATATGTGAAGTTCCCCTTTGCATGCATTAGCAGAACAAGAGAGAGGGTGAGACTTATCTTGTACTCTAATCATTGCGCCACAAAGAGGCCAGATGTTAAATCCTAAATTCCCCCTAGATTGAACTGTTGCATTTATCTCTTTGCCAAATCTGTCTGTGCTTTGTGGCTTCAAGATGTAGTCTTTCATTTCCAAAAGTGAGGGTGTTTATGTGCTACTACAAATGACCTATGTTTTTTTTTTTTTAGCTTTAGCATGTGTGTGTGTGAAGAGAGCTCGTGTTTCCTGTGGGAACTCCTTGCAGAAAGCCGCACTGAGTGACGATTCTGGACTTTTAGTTGCTGACGATTATAAAAAGTGAAACGTGAGCGCATTCCTGAGGTTCAAGGTGGAGCTGTGTGGCGGCACAGCTGAGGGCTTATTGAAAGATGAGCGCTGAGCAGGAAATTAGCGTACAGTGAGACCCAGGGGTCACAGAAACATACATGCACACACATAAATGCAAAAACCACATTGCCTATTCACCTCCCCCCACTGATGATGACCCCTTTTTTATATATGATCATCACATGCATCCCATCATTAGGCAATAAGCCACAGTTGACTGCTGATTTGTAACAAGACCCTGCCTCTGTGTTCAGTCCTCGCTTTAATCTGAGCTCTGCAGACTCTCTGATTTCTAAATGTATATTACTGCACTGCACTCAGGCAATGCGTGCCCCAGATTTGGGAAAGAAGTGTATTGCCGTGAGACTGTGAGAGAGCGACAGCTGACTAACCAGAGAGGAGAGGAGGGGAGGGAGGGAGGAGGAGGAGGGGGGGGGGGGAGAGAGGAGGGGGGGGGGAGAGACGGGGGGGGGGGGGGGGGGTAGTCAGACAGTCAGCGTCCACTGCTCAGGGAACCCGGGGGAAACTGAGCCAGAAGAGAAGGGACTACAGTTGCAGCTGTTGTTGTGTGCATGCAGGCACGCACGCACACATGCACACACAAACACACACGCACACACACATAGCTTATTCTTAGCCCACATCTAAATAAAATCGGACTCTTTTTATAATCTTGAATGCTCACTGACCTGTCATGTTATGTAAAGTTGTAATGTGTTTCTGTGAGCTGGTGTTAAAGCTGATTGGGCAAATAAATGGTTTGTTAGACTTCACCTTACATAGGTTTCAGAGTATGAAACATAACAAACATGTTATCGCCTTTGATCAGGCTGATTGTTGCTTAGAGGACCGATGATTTATGTGGTCTGTGAATTATCAGAAGAAAGTGTAAAACATCCTCTTATTGCGTCCCGTGATTGGATTATTTAGATTTTTCTGTCAATTGACTTATTGATCAATCAACCGATGATGAATGTGAGAGTTACAAACTGTGATGTGGCCTTAAATCAAGTTTCTACATATTGCAGTAGGGAAGGCTTAGTGTTAAAAGCCTCTTGGTTTTCAACCTCTTTATTTTGAGGTCAAAGTTATTTTATTTATGTATCTTTGACAGAGAATATTTTAAATAATTCACAAAAAGAAAAACCTACTTATGTCTAATTTACAATGGTACAATACAATGATGTAATGTAGTATGCAACAACAGTTTTTATTCATCAATCTGCAGATTATTTTGATGATTAACTGAATTATTTATATATATATATATAATATATATATATATATATATATATATATTTTTCTAAAACATGACAGAAAAAGGCCTCGTTTTACAGACGACTCCAAATGAATTGTCCTGTGCAACAGTCACAAAACAGAGATATTTAGTTTACAATGAAATACAAAAGATAACACAAAAGATACAAAAAGTAACAACCTGTAATTAATACATATGTAGTTTTTCAAAACATGAAGTTCTGATAAAAGTAGTTTTCGGTTAATCTATTAATCAGTGATACGATAAATGGTTTGAGCTCTCAAAGAGCCACTCAATCTCATGCTGGAGAGTTATTTCTCCACTGTAGAGCAGACATGTTTTACTACAGCTCTCCCACCTCAGCAGTAGGTATTACTTTTTCTTGGATGGAGTCCTCAGGGACAGAAAGATGATTGATGTGGTTTGATGTGGATCTCATAAAAAGCATCTCAGGAATTGGGACTGCAGATCTGTAGAGTTCATGATGCTTTTGTTTATTTATTGAAGAACCGGATGGAGAGGTTGTACAGATTTAGAATCAATTTAGTGCACCACTTGATGCAGAGAGTGACTTGCTGGCTCTGCCCTTTTAGTCATGCAGCAGCACTTTACTGTAGTGAGGGTGCAGCGCACAGCAGAAACAAATCAGACTGAGAGCTGCGGCTGAAGGCAAAAGCTAGGAGCTTAAGTCTGACATTTTACTTCATTTCCTGTTCTGTTTTTTACTTTTTAGTCCGTTTAATTAACTTTTTTGTATACAAGGTTCTGAATGTATGAAAAGTACATGTGGTACTTTTTAACACGTGGTGATAATGTGTTTGAATTTAAAATGTTTAAACATCTTGGCAAATGTTCAGTAAAAGATCGCTTGACACACCTAAAAGCAGTAGAAAAGTGTAAAAAAAGTCCATCGTCAAGACCGTTATTAAAATATATGTGATAATGTAAGGACATCTTTTCCATTTCAAGCTTTTGCCTGAAGAATCAAGAGAGAAAACCCATTGAAAACACAAACTCAAAGGTAAGACACGGAAAACAAATCTTTCTGAAATCAGATTTAATTAACAAAGAGTCAGTGACAGTTTTACAGTACACATGACACAAAATCACTACTGAAGGTTCGCAGAACCCTGATGAAAAATATCCACAACAGTGCTGAAAATGACACTTAGACAACTGTAAATAGTAAGTAATAAATGTAACTTTTACATACACAATCTGTGTAATATGAAACCTCACACTTCTCAGCAGAAACCCTCTGTGTGAGTTGGACCCTCTGAATGTACAGTTGTGTGTGTATTGACCTGAATACTGAGACAACACCATATGGATCGAATGGCCAACACTCAAAAGACCTCAGGCCTAATCCCTGCTGGCTAACTTGATTGGTCTGGGATCCTTTTTAAACTGAGTGAAATTAACAACCTTTTTACATAATAATGATAAATTAGAGCATCAGATTGTCCTTGCATAACAGTGGTCCTCTATAAAACAATGTATTTAGAGTCAGAGCGGGCAGTGCCATCCATTATCCTGAGGGGAATCCTGAAGGTTCTGTGAAATTGTAAAGGAAGCTGTAGTTTGTTTTAAACGGTTATGAGGCTGCTTGAAATGAAAAACACTGAATCAGTTTATTATACAAAAGAATAGATACTGCAATATTTACTCATGAGTTTGTGGTTGAAATACACATGGTTGTTTAATGTAACCTTCCTGTGACATATTTATGCAGAATAATGATAACCATGCGATGGGAATATTACATGAAATGTTCGTTATTGCTGCTGTTTGGTTAATGACAAATATGTACAATGCTCTGTACATTGATCCTGTGTGATGGAGATACGGGTCTTTACCTCGACTTTTAACTGTCTCATCCCTGTTACAGTCCTATGACTTGTGTATATATATACAGTATATAACTCTGTTGGCAAAATTCAGTTCATCCTCAGAGCTTTGGGATTAAACAGGCCCGTTTGCATCTTCTTTGAGGCCGTGGCGAACGAGCTTTACATAACGACGGGTACCAGATGGCAGTCAGTCAGTCGGTTCTCCATGTTGGCTCTGCCATCTTTACCCCCTCCTCTCTCTGGGTTGACTGAACATGTGCCATGTCTACACAGCGGAGAAGAATAACGAGCATTTCTAAATAGGGCTGGGCAATATATTGATATTTGGATCATTTCCGTAATATCATACTAGATATCGTCTTACATTTTGGATATGGTATTTCCTTATCCTGATTTTGAAGGCTGTGTTACAAATACCCATTTGGTCATTATAGTCACATTACTGATGATTATTTATAAAAATGGTCATTGTATTGATACTGTGTGAAAACATCAATGGTCAACACAACATTATAGTCACGATATTGATGTATTTGATCAATTATATTCTGTTCTAAGATTTTCCATATATCGCCCAGCCATATTTCTAACATGACCACAACCTAGCTGATAACGAGGGAGGAATCTCAACGTTTAATGTGCAGTATTGGAACGAGTCATGCACTGTATTGCTGTTACGTCTTTTTAGGCAAGAGGAGACTTCTCTATTTGAAATACATTTATATGCGGCAGTGTCTTGTAGTAAACTCCGGTAACATTCATTCCCTGAGCAAGGTGAATGAGGATGGGTTCAGTTAAACCTGAGTTTCCAAGTCACTCGAGGCCTGCTGGAAACAAACGTGATCTTATGACTGTGTTCAGTGGCAGTGCGTTCAGTAACAGCTGTTTGGAGCATCACTTATAAAAACTGTAACCATGCAATCTAACAGTTGGTGTTTCTATTCATAGATCCAAAGAAGTGTGATATGAGATTCCTGTAGCATAGCAGTAAAAAGTATCTGGATTATTAAATGAAGATCTGTAATGTTGGTGACATTCTGAGAAAGATGTCCATTTCAATGTACCGTCTTTTAAATTATAAGAAAAACCCAGTCATACATGCACTCACAAATAGCCATAAATTGGAATAATACAAAACTTGCAGCATAAGTGAAAAAGCTGTCTCACACTAGAGCACACACGCACACACACTTGGAAACACACACAGCAAACAAGGTTTAGTTTTTTTGGATTGTCAGACAAAATGTTGCCCTGATAATCTCGTTCTGGGTGAAGAGTTCATCTGTTCATTTTTGGAAGATAACTGTGGCCAAGCCTCTCGTTCAGTCATTCATTCATTCGCACTACAGCACCGCCAAAATCCCCCCGAGCACCTGTTGCTCCCTCAGTTTGGCATCACTGACAGTCTGTAGGCCCGAGACTCACTGTCAGACCCACACAGCTGTGTTGTAGTCAAACAAGGGCTGCATTTTCTCCAGACCAGTCTCTGGCTGTCTCCTGTCTAAATAAATCCCGGCAAATGGCTGCTGGTGGACTTGGGAAAAATGGTGTTGGTGGTCTCTCTCTGCTTCAGCTAAATGGCACGGCCGGCCTTTGCCCTGCTGTCCATTTGCCCAGAAGGGCAGATAGAAGCTGCCTTTTGAACTTTTAGGAGCCACTTTCTTTGGCCTTTTGAAGAGGTCGCCCTCTGACAGCTCAGGAGCCATCCAGCCCGGCCTCTCCTTGAGCAGCTTGTCCCTGTCGGGCCGGACGCTGCGCAGGAACTTCTTGAAGATGTTTGTGGTAAAAGAGAACTTCCTGCAGATCTCCTGCGAGCGGCTGAGGCGTAGAGGGTGAGCTGGAGTGTCCGGCCTGTCAACTGCTCCGTCTGCCTCCCTCATCTTCCTCCTTTCCTCTTCTTCACCCTCTTCCCTCTCCACCTCCGGCAGGTCAAGCCAGTTGCCCACGAGGTCTGCAAAGACGTTGTCGCCGAGCACTAAAGGCTGGCGGTTACGGCTTCGACTCATGAGTGATGAAGTCCAGTCACTGGCGTCTTCTGTGCTGTCCTGGGAGTATTCACTGTCCAATGAAGGGCCTTCTCTGGACAGGCTGTACAGGATCCCAGGCAGGTCAACTGCCTGGGCCCGAGGGGGGGCCTGTGGCAGAGCATAGGGCTCCGGTGGAGGGTTTCCCACCATTGGTCCATAGAAATCCACCTGCGGGGCTGAATATCCTGACCACCTCTTGGGTATGGACTCAAGGTCGTTCTCACTTCGAACGTTTCGGGCCCTTAGTTCACTTCCCTCAGTCTCACTCTCGAGGCTGGATGCAGAGGAAGACGAGGTTCCCAGGCTGCTTCTGATTCGAGACAGACTTCTGTCATCTCGGCTGAAGGTGTTTCTGCTCCCCATCGAGGGACTTGGCATCAGACTCATGCTGGACTCCTCGGGCGTGGTTTGGCTAAAGCAGCGCCCACAATCCTTGCCCGAGGTTGAAGTTGCTGTAGCTGACGCTTCAGGGGAAGCTGAATGCTGGAGTCCTCGGTTTATTGGCCGACCTGAAATGTCGAGGTTTTCTAGCGCTGTCTGAACCTGAAGGAGCTTGAGTTCCTGAAGGGCTCCCATCATTGAATTCATCTGTTCGTGGAGGCCATCTCCGGCTTCTTTCATGCACAGCTACAGGGAGACAGAGAGAAGGAGATTAATGAAGAGATGAGCGACAAAATCTAAAAGGTCAAGTTTAGTTTAACAGATAAAAGCCTTGTGTAGGTCATCAATTCAAATCATTCGACTCCTCAGCCTCCTGCAGGATCCATGTAACCCATCAAAGATTTCATAATTCCCCCCCCCCCCCTTTTTTTAATTGATAAATAATCTCAGCACAGCACAATTACACACCCTCAACTGCCAATTACACACCCTCAACTGTGTCGAAGGCATACACATTAATGAATAGAAATCACAGTAAGAGTCCTGCTCTTTATCTGTGTCGGTTAGACTCTTGTATGTTTCAGGCTGCACCTTGTTTAATTATGGGTCATGTGACCTAGTTTTGGATGACAGGCCAGGCTCCCATATGGCCTGTGTATGAGACCGGATCCAAACCATGACAGCTGTGAAATAGACTAGCTTTCCATTCTTTTCTCAGCTTTGAACTCTTTTACCCTGTTTCAGTACTTGAATCCATATTTGCTCCTTCCCAAGAGCTCTTTGTCTTCACTCTTACTTATCTCCGTGCAGCATAATTATACACTCTGCTTTTATCCCTTTTGCTTTTCTCTGTGCTATCATCTGTTTAAGAGCCAGTGTCATGTGATCTGCACTAACCGTCTTCTCCTGAAGGCAGACAGAAAGCCTCTTGACCCATGTCTAAACTTGTATGCTTGAATTATTTGACCTAGACCTTTTGCATCGTTCTGTTGATATAACAACAGGTTTATCTTCCTCTCAGAACATGTTCACGTTAACATATATGGCAACTGTTGGAGGAGTAAACCTGCCGTGAACCCTCCTATTATTATAAAAAAAAAAAAGAAGAAAAAACTGAAGATGAGAGAAGGCATGCAAAGAATTATAAAACCGTGCCAGGAGTCTGTGGGAAAAGATTCAAAACTTCTAAGACACACCTACAGCAGATACCAAGATCAAAACTGTTTTCCCACCGTACTTGTAAGAATTTGTCAGTTAAACCACAACAACATAAATGACTGTGAACTGAACAAATGACATTTAGTATATTGCACATGAAACAGGCCTCTATGACAACAACAGCAGCAACACATATCTGATAGTGAAAAACAGAAACTTTGAGGACTGAAAACAAATATATATCTCTACATATCCAAACCAACACCTTACCTTCTATAAAGTGTCACAAAGCAGGAGGTTTAGTTATCCCTGTCTGTCTCTCTGTTGTTGTTAGTCTGCACCTCCTTCAGCCCGTCACTGTCTCTCACCTTTCTAACGTTCAGTCTGACTGCCCCTATATGTATCTCTCTCCAATCGGGGGACACCGCTGGGCGTGACAGCCAATCAGCGTGCCCGTCTAGACTTTAATCCTCAAACGGTAGGGGGGTGGGCTCACTCAGGCAGAAACGGACTATCAATGAGAGGAGCGAGAGGGGAGATGGCGAGTGAGAGTCAGCCGGATGAGCAGGGATGGGGAGAGGAGAGGGGAGGGGGAGAAAGCGGGGGGGGGGGGGGGCGGCTGTGTGATGGGTAGGGATCCCTCGCCATATGTTGAGATGTCGAAGAGAAAACTGTTGATGGATTTAATTATGGATGACACCATAAGAACACATGAGGGGGGTGTATGTGAGGGAGGGGGTGTAACAGCACCAGCCTGTGATACTTAATCTTGAGGGAGCAGTGATTGTGTTGACCCCCAGGGTGGGAAAAGTAGCTGCTATAACAACTGACGGTACAGCATCATAAACAGAGCAACCTATAAGCACCGTGAGAGCAGGGACTGTTGCAGGATGTGGGCTTTCTGGGAAACACACACATGTAATAGATAACAAAATATCTTGGGCTTCTTTTTTGGTATATAATTTGTTTTAATGTATATTTCAAAACGCCAAGAGATTACAGCCAAAATGACTTTTCTTAGGCGCTGTTATTTATGCTGTCAGTTTGTTGCTCTTTGTCCATAATTAAATATTGCAACATTTGTATGTAAGGAATTCATGGTCCCTCAAGTACGGTGGCTGAAAGGGGCAAACGCGTTACGACGGCCCAAAATACTTCCATTAGGAGAAACTTTTAATTTACATAACGCTTTTAGTTAACGATACGCAAGTTGGTGAATGTTTTTTAAATGCTGCGCATGTGTTGTCAGGTTGGTAAAGATGTTTCTTCATTCGCGTGTGTTTTGGCACATTGGTATTTTTTTTATTTGCATCGTTTTTGAAACTGCAGCGCATTTCTCATAATGGAAGTGTTTTGGGCCGTTGTAACACAGTTGCACCAGTCAGCCATCTTTCTCAAGGATGATGCTTTATGACGCTAATAAATACATTTAAAAATAATTGTATTAATCGTTTAATTTATAAAAAGAAATTGCAATTACCATCATTATAGAAAGGGAAAAAAAATGAGGAAATATTAAAGAGTTGAGAAGCTGGTACCGGACATTTGACTTTATAAATCACTTTAAAGTATCATCAGGATTATTGATATACTTTCTGCTAATTTATTTCAGCACTATATACTCAAGGTCACCTCACATAGTCTGTATCTTGACATTTACTGGACCCCCCGCACCATTAACCATAAACCTCTAGGGTTAAAACACTCTGATCATCAATAACATATGGCTGAGTAGGTGCACCGAGGGAGGGAGGGGGGGGGGGACAGCCTTTAAGATGAGATAATAAGCCTATCAATGCACATGCTGGGAACAAAAGCCTCGGAGCTTCCTGAAGGCTCGCTAAATTAGGCAGCCAAGGTACATGTAATTAGCACAATCAGGTTGTCTCTTGTCTTTTTGTCTTCCACATATGGCTGACTTCATTAGCTGTAATTGGCTGTGCCCTGGGAGAAGGTGGGAGAGAGTGCATAATGACGGTTTACTTCCCTCCACATCAAAGGTCAACAAGTCTGAAGACGAGATGATGTGCGGAGTTATGTATTGTCGTTACATCTTCAGAGGAAGACATGTGGCATTCGGAAAAGTGCATGCAGGGATCAGCTGAGGGATTACCGCACACTGAGCTGATTGTGAAATCTGCACCACTTAAATGCATTAAATCTGTTTTTGAAATATTATCTGCTAAGCACACCGTTCTCATGCAGTCCAAAAGGGCTGCACCTGTTAGCACACGCTAACCAAAAAAAAACCTAATTTAAAGCTCACATGCAACTTCTCCCTTATTCCCGCGACGCAGACGTTTCCCCTGGTTATTTAAAAAACACTGAGTTGTTTACTTGATTTTCTATTCTAAGGCTACATTAATAATTCATATTGTGCCCTGCGGAACAAACACAAGAACAGTAGTAAACTAACCCCTTACTATTCAACCTTTACAATGCCAGATTACTCCAGGCGCTCCGCTGCCATTTCAAGGCTGAACTTTGTGTCCCAAATATGTCAGCCTCTGCAAACTTCATTCTGTCGTTGCTCATGAGGATAAGTGATTTTTAAATAACGTACCGCTGCAATTTTGTTTTGTAGTTTAAACACAGACGTTGTTCATCCTGAGATTAGTCACTGTATTAATGTGTGAATCAGCTCAGGGCCTTACGAAGACAAAGACACTGAGGATGCAGATGTGACCGGAGCTAAACAAGCACCTTGAGGTGTTCTCAAGACAAAACGGAGATGACGAGAACAAGTCTGTCTTGTCTTATTTAGTAAGAGAAGTCGGATGGAATTGGGGCTGCGGGGAAAATCTGTCCTGTCCAGAAACAATGGCATCATTAACCTAGTCTTATTAAATCTTCCTTTTGAATTCAAGCCTCCAAACCATTTAAGCCATTTATTTAATCAAGCGTATATTTCTATAAAAAGATGATTTTAAAAGAGTGAAAATGAGCTGTTTGAATAAAAGAAAGCCAAACAGCCGCTGTCCAGATTCCCCCCCTTCCCCCCCCGCTGCTTTTTCTTCTTTTGCTTCAGGGATGCCAGCCAACCAGACATAATTGCCAATTAAAGGCTGAATGCTTCAAAGTTTAAGAACAATGGCCAGCAGTCTCTCAATTAATGTTGCATAAAAGCTTATTAAAAATCTGGCAATTGTAATTTAAAAAAGAATTTATTGATGATTCTTGTTTTTATATTCTCACTTCACGATCCTTCTACTGTGAAGCTGCATCTAGAGTCCGTTCAATACACAATCCAGCAAATTAAATACCAAAGTGTAAATAAATCAATGCTGTCTGTTGAGACTGAGCTCCCTGCCTTCATAGCTCCCTTGATATAACCTCTTCCAGTAATGGAGGGAAAAAAGATATTCGCTGTGCAAACACACTGAGCTCACACATCCGCACATGCCCAAACACGCCTCGCTTGAATGATTTTAGTGTCTTTTAAAACGCACGTTTGAATGCTGTGTTCACTGACACACATGAACTGGATTGCCGGTGAGAAATAAACACATAAACCAGAACTCAAAAACAAATCAGCGCTCTGTTCTGGCTATAAAATCCAGGCTATTCACTGTTGTTGTTTATTTGTGATTAGCTAGAGGGGGAGGAAGCAGAGAGGCCAAGGTTACCAGGCCCAAAAGGTCTTCCTGTTTAGAAGGAGCTGGCCAGCAGCAGCTAGTTCACTCCACCCTCCCTCCACCTCCACCCCTAATTAAAAATGAATGGTGGGCTGTTTGGGTCAAGGACAGACATGGGGTCTCTGTCCGGGGGATACAGAGAGGGTCTCTGTGCCCGAGCCGCTGGACACGCCACACACTGCTGTGGACAGCCCCGAGGTTGCAATCAAAAGGGCAATAAAAGCTGTGCTGGAGCGCTCACTGAAAGAAATGATTTGCTGTGCAACGTGGCCATGAATGCCTCTTTTGACAAAAAAGGTTACTGTACACGGTGACCCTGCTTGGTCCTCGGGGTCACGTTCAGGAGAGGAAGAAGTGTGAATGATGTTCAACAAAAGAGAGTGGCACAGAAATAACTCTTGAAGGATGTCGAGACAAATTGGTCGTTAAGGGTAGACATTCACATTTGGACCA